TATATATATATATATATATATATATATATATATATATATATATATATATATATATATATATACATATGTGTGTGTATGTATATATATATACACGCGAATGTTCTACAACACGCGGCTGTATGCCACTGTTTATCCTACCCTGGCATCCGCGCTCCTACCCCTTTCCCCCCGGCAGGCGAGCCACGCGCGTGCACCTGGATTTTCACGAATTTCCAGCGAAACGCCGACCGGCAAGCGGACGCCACCCCCTTTCCCAACGCGATGTCGCGTGCCGACCACCTTCATTTTCGCGCCCGTTTCATCGCCCCCTTCGATCCGCTCGTTCTCGCAGAATTGCTCCAGTTACACGGGCGCGAACGCTCGCGTGGCGCAACAGGATTCCTCTTGCAGCGAAAGTGAATCCGGACGCGCGCGCAACCGGCCAGGTTTTCAACTTCACGCTCCTTTTTTTTTTCTTTCTTCTTTTTTTTTTTTTTTGAAAGACAAGAGTTAGGGTTTTTCTTCTGTTGAATTGCTTCGTGACGTTTCGATTACTTTGTTATTACGCGAATGTTATTAATAAATGTTATAAATAAATGTTGGAGAGTTCTAATCTCCCGTCTTTTGCATTAGAGCGAAACACCTATGTTTCACCGTTATGATAAAGAGACTCCGTTGCTCTTCTTCTTCTGTTCTCCAGTAAACGAAGAATAGCCGTGAGCAACGTGTGTCTCAACTCTGTCGACTTTTATATATCCATTTTGAATTGCACGATCTTCAACAAATTACGTCAATAAAACATTCTACTTTATAGATTACTATATACTATATTATATTTCATGTATCTATAAACGAAAAATTCGAATGCTCGCGACATCTGATCTTAAATAACATAAATAAATGTTGGAGAGTTCTAATCTTTTGTATTAAAGTGACACCTATGTTCACCGTTATAATAAAGAGATTCCGTTGCTCTTTTGTTCTCTAGTAAACGAAGAATAGCCATGAACGTGTGTCCAAACTCTGTCGACTTTTATATATCCATTTTAAATTGCACGA